TTATTTATTTTATTTATTTACTTACTACACTCATACATATATTTTTGTTTATGTACAAAATTATACAGTAGTGGACTTAATGTCGTATGGCATTCTCTACAAATCCACCGCATAATTAGTCTTCAATATTTTTTTCAGAGTAATTATACCGTACCTACATTTTTTTCAGATTCAAGCTAACATAAATATAAATAATGTATCTAGATTTTCTTTGAAAAAAAAGTTTTGGCTTAACTAGCTGTATGACAAAAGGAGCAACTGACACTGGTAGTCTGGTAATGATCAACTAATAAAATAGTCCAATTAAACTGTCAAACACCAAGCGGTCACCGGTGACCGCAACCTATTGTTCTATAATTGTGTCTACAAAACCGGTACTCGACGAGTTAAGCCATTATTAAATCTGGGCAAAACGTCTTCTTACCTAATCAAAATCATACCTAATCACAAACTTCATAAACATAATAATGAAATTAAAGTGCCTACGTATACAAAACGTTGTAATTGAAACAGGCCATTAAAAATTCATCGTTGTCTAGATACAGAATTTCTGTACAGCCTATTAAAAGGAATAAAGTGAACTAAAATAATATAGCTGAACAGCAAAACTGGGCTGAAAGATTAATGGACTAAAATGTACGTCTATAATAACCTCTTAAAGCCTTTCTTTGTCTTGAATTAATAAGCTACTGTCAAATGAGCCCAAGCACTTTAGTCCGCAGGCCATTGAATATTATTCAGTTTCTTCACCTTGTTTAAATACCGTCTAGATCACGTTCTGTGGTCTAGATTAATATTTAGACAGTACAAATGCTAATTTTGTTTTATTTCAATGAGCGTTGTAAATTACGCATTAATATTTAGCTTTGAAATCCATAATACTGCTAAGTCGGAATTAAAATTTCAATAATACTGATAATCGAAATATTTTATTTTAAATACACTCATTGCTTTCTCCATATTATGTAGGACAGGACATTTTGTAATTTTAGATCACAGTAACGACATCTATGAACTCGTACATGAATCTCTACAGCCAGTTAACAGCTCTTGGCATTAGGTTCGAGAAGTATCTTTAGAAAAACGCCATCTATCGGAATTTTCCACAAGTAAATGAAAACTAAGTTTCATGTTTCAGCGAGAGAAAAGTGTGAGCTGTTAAGATTTATGATGTTTTCGTTAGATGGCATTTATATCAAAATAGTGAACGAGTTTGAACAATTTATGAAACTTATAAAATATGCAATTCACCAAGTCATTACATACATATTTGCTAGTATATTTATTTAGTACCCCTTCTTCATCTAAAGACACAAAATTAACATACGTATCCACCCCAAAGTACAAAATGTTTTCATATAATTGAATACGTTTAAGTTAAACACATAAACACAGGAATGAATAAATATTGCATATCCTTGTCTGGCATGCGTAACAAGGGCAAAAAATAATATGTTCTTATGGTTTTATCGTCAAAACATTCTTGACTTCCACCTAAGGTCCCCACTCAACGTCACTCAAAGGGAAGTTGTCAAAAAATGTTCTCGAATCAAGAAAATTATTCGAAAGAAAAAGATGAATAAAAACGAAGGAACAATCGGATGCTTTATGGATTTTTTGACTGTTTTTACACTTTAGCACATTTACCTTAATAATTTCTTTATTTTCGTAACCTAAATACCTATTTCTTTATAATAAACAGACTAACCGCCGTACTCAGAGTCATTTAATGGCTACTTAGCCCAGTCCTTAGCAATTCGGTACTTGCCAACTAGTTAAATTCAATACTTTTTTCGAACCGTCGAAAACGATACTTTTCTATGAATTTTGTACGAAATTGCAGCATACTTATTTCTTAAAAATTTTGCTGGAAAAATACCAAAATTAAGTTGGTCATAAAATCAATTAATGAAAGTGTGAATATTTCGAAATATTTTATTGTATTGAACAGTCGACATATTTGTATTTTTTGATTAAGGCAAGGACTCAATTGTTTTCGGTACAAAATCGTTACTAAGGAATAGTTTAAGTAGTTAAATGTCTCTGATTATCCCAGTAAGCATTCCCTGACTTTACTTAATGCATTAATTAAAAATAATGAAATTGAAATATAAAACTTATATAATTCAAGTTTCTAACTATCGAAACACTGTTGCTAACAGACGAAAAACCCCCAAAATTACACACAGGCACAATTATACATTACCAAAATAAAACTTTTTCTTGAACTGAACTTATTTTCGGTCACTTACATATGTATAAATTTATAATATAGTAACTTAACTCAAAATTTGTAATAAGAGCATCATTAATATAAGTTCTAGAATTTTGACAAAATATAATCATTGAATAATCAACTTTATATTCACTACATTGATTAAGAACAGAATTAAACGCAACTAGCGTATTCATAATAATTATTTTTAACTAGCCTTGAAATGTCTTCAGCATCTAAAGGAACGGATTCCCACAAATAGAAATTATAAAGCTAAGTTAATTATTAATCTGTCAGTTTCAATATATTGAACCGATACCATGTATTAGTTAATTTTATATGAACTTAAACGTTACCTTGTTCCTTCTACTTTACCTGAACATTATGCGGTCAAAGAAGCTAGCTAGCTTTATGCATTAGATAAATTTTCTTAAGAAAGACCTTGCTTAATTAATTAAAACTAGTACTAACTGGTATGCATGATTATAATTTTAATTAATAGTAAAACATTTTAAACAAAAGAATTGCCTCGTTGGCCAAGTGGTCGCAAGTGCCACTACCAAGACAAGGCAAGGCAAGGGTATCGGGTTGTAAAAAAATTCTCAGTGGTAGCACGGAGTCTGGAATTGTGCCCGATATATGGCAATAGGCTCACCCCCTATTAAAAAAGAAACAAAACATAAATAGTGAAAAGTGGGTGTTACATTGTACAGTGGCATTAAGTGCCGTAATGTGCACCTCTGCCTCCCCTTCGGGGGGAAAAGGCGTGATATGTAAAACATTTACTTTAACACTTCGAAATAGAACCGCGTTCTTCTTCATCATCATGATCATCACATTAATAATTTAGTGCGGAGTAGCGTACATTTAGTAGACATAGACTAGATAGCAGCGCTTTCTGATAAACCTGACCCTTTTAAACTCTAGTCTCCCTCGCCATCTCCAACGTGGATGCAATTCAAGCATGGAAAAAATGGAATATCCATATTATTTATATAGAGTTATAGTTCACCCGTGGGCTACCACGGGCAGTCAATGCGTCAATATTAAAACAATAATATTAGGCGTAGCACCATCTACTACGACTGCGTAGCCATAGCCGGCGTAGCCGTGCGTTTTTTTTTTTGCTACGAGACATGTATAATGTAGTATCTTTTAGACCCCGTTTACTTGTGACATACATTCTTAAGTATGATTTTAGCGACGCGTGTATAATATTATTCTAGTTCAGTTCAGTTCAGTTTCACTAGAGTTCAATAACATTTCATTTACGTGCAGAATAGATAATTTGTATGCACATTATTTTACTTTAAAACTAAAAATAAATTACGTAGTAGAATGATAAGAGTCATTAATAAATAATGTATGAAGGTCACGATAGAAAACTACAAAAATACTTGAATAATTTTCAATAAACTGCGTTTATAAAATCAACTAGTAGGTACGTAAGTTGAGACAACAAGAAAATCAAACAGAGAAGTATTAAAGAACTTCAATTTCATCATAAATCTCATGCAAAACTTTGGAGCTGCAGGACTTAAGTCTATTGTTAACAATAAAGTTATACTTATAAAAAACTGTAAACTAGAGGTACATAAGTGGAACTTGTAAGTTGTTGCACTTATTTCTAATTCACAGTTCTAAAGATGAATAGGTAGGTAGGTAAAGTAGTTTATAATACTAACAATACCCTAGAATCCATGTATACCTTAGTTAGATTGTGCCCAAAATTGCAAAATCGTAAGTATAATAAACTTAACAGTAACGTCACCTAAATAAAAAAAATACTAGAAATAACGATTAGAATAAATACATATAATACTCGTACTTATACTTCAAGATGTGATGATACCTACTCTACAATTTTTTTTTCGTGACTGTAAAAAAACGATTTATAAAAAATCCGCACCCTCATGCATGAGAAGCGGGCTCCACCACGACACTATATTATTAAAATATCGTTGAGAATATTCAAAACGCAACTTAATTACACCATAGACGAAATAAAATCTAGTTTCGAAATCTAGCAAAATATGTAATATTTACTTGCAATTATGTTATTGAAAACATTAGGAAACCTGTTCTAATTTTAAGTTTGAAATAGCCAACCCGCATTGAGCAAGCATGGTGATTAATGCTTAAATCTTCGCCGTTCGAGAAGAGGCCTTTAGTCAACAGTGGCCCCTTATATGTTCTTGATGATGATGATGATGATATTTTTGGTGCAAAATTATGCAAATAGTTAAGTTTCAAGTTCAAGTATATACGAGCTAACAGAAAATGCACAGTTTATTTCCATATTAATCTACAATTTGCAGAAAATAAAACTTCTCGTAGCTAAGTACATAGGTACTTGAATATTTTGTGTACCAGGGCTGTATTACAATTCGGGTGACTATAGCAGACACAACTAAATACATAACTTCACGCCTTTTATCCCCGAAGGGGTAGGCAGAGGTGCACATTATGCCACTGTACCTCTACAATGTAACACCCACTTTTCAATGTTTATGTTATGAGTCGCATGTAATAGGCGGTGAGCCTATTGCTAATTCCAGACTCCGTGCTACTACTGGGAATTTTCGAAAACCCAGTAATACTTTGCCCGACCCGGAAATCGAACCTTCGATCCCTTGTCAACCAACCAACAAGCCAGGCACAAGTAAATAAGAATACTAAATCGAAACTTCTTGTTTTTTCACGTGAGTACGTCCCTGTGTTTATTACTTTTTACACAGTATAAAAAGCAGAAAATATACACTATTCACCACAAACCTTAGAACATTGAAAAGTGCAGTTCTATTACAATTTTTCAAAATGAAATCATTGTATTTTCTTGTAATTTTATCAATTTATGTCGTTCTTAGCAACTGTGCCACTAGCGGTAAGTGCAGTTTTATTTAAAAAATTATATATGTAATGTGTTACGTAAATGTATCGACAAATCTTGTATCTAATCAATATCAATCAATACATCAATTACAAATAATATAATTGCAAAATATCGGTGTCTGTACATGGAAGATATATGAGAAAAACTTTATACACGCAACAGAACACAAAACAATGATTTAAAATTTTTGTCTGTTTGTCTGTACGTTTGTTCGGGCTAATCTCAAAAACGGCTTAACCTAATTGAATGCGGTTCACTATTGCATTGCGGTTTGCTGAAATTACCATTTAGGCTTTGTTTTGTATAAATCATAAATAAAAAAGTTATGTCAATCTAAAGAATTGCATCATCATATCAATCATTAATACTAAAATGTCACAATATTGTATTCATCGTAACATTTGGGGGTTTGGGATATTTGGGGTTCCTTAGACAAATCGGTCAGGAATGAAGCATACTACCACCTCTTAAAGCATTTAGGTCAACTTAATGACGACGTAACAATGTTTTTTGTTTTACAGACGAACTTAGAAGGAGATGCTTGCAACCGCGAAATGACCCAAACTGCACCACTACTTCGGAGGCGTAAGTTTTTAATAACTTCAATCTTCAATACCTATTATGGATTTTTTATATTTTTTTCGAACAACAATATGGGCAATAGGTAACGTTATGTTACTTTTCACTAGTTATGTTACCAGTCCAATATAAATACTTATATATGTTACATAACAGCATAATATAACATCACGCCTTTTATCCCGAAGGGATGTGCACTGAGCCATGATAATTAACCTGATAATGCCAGTGAGCCTATTGCCATATACCGGGCACAATTTCAGACTCTGTGCTACTACTAAGACTTTAAAAAAAATCCTGTAATACTTTGCCCGACCCGGGAATCAAACCGAGACCTCTTACCCGGCCGTTGCACTTACGAGAACTCGGCCAACGAGGCAGTCACATGCTGCTCACCTTACGATTTAACTGGGCAGTTTAACAGTACAAATTAATTATGAGGTATGTAGACTGCATGAACCCATGTTGGTTTCACATTAGTGGGTACTTGTGTCTCTACTGAGTCACACATCACTCAGTGTCTCCTCGTACACGAAAACAAAGCCAGATGGTTGCGAACGTAACCAAAATTTTTTTTTTTTTTTTTTTAAAAACGTTGCCCCACACTAGGATTTTCTCCTGTGCCGTGGGTGCGTTTACAAACATACAAGTTCACATACACATGACACCCAGACCCGGAACAACAATTTGTGGATCACACAAAGTATTGTTCCGTGCGGGAATCGAACCCGCGACACGTTGCACGGCAGCCGGTTGCCCAGCCACCGCACCAACCGTGCAGTCAAAGTGACATTGGCGCTGTGTCGTGAACGAGTACGAGTGTATGTCCATGTGCGTTAGGCCTTACCGAAGTACATTTGAAAATTCTCTATAGTGTCACTTTGAAACCGAAAACCCATTAAAACTTTGACCAACTCAGAAAACGGCCTAGAATAGACTATCCGTAAACAAGTCTATTTAGAATGTATAACTACAGTATAGGCATTTTGAGATGATTAAATAAAGATAATACATAATTTGGTTTTTTTCAGGTATTTTTACATCCCTGCTAGATACCGCTGTCAGCGCCAAATATACTCCAATTGCACAGACGCCAATATCACACATTTTACGAACGCCTCTTCTTGTTATAGAGCCTGTCGAATTATAGATTATTAAATAAACTGTTTTTCTATACACATATGAGATAAATATTATACCATAATATAACTTTCTTGCATAAAAAAAAATACACACTACGCACAGCACTATATATTGTAATAAATATATTCAAATTCTAATGATAATGATTTTTTTTTCTTTATAACATAACATAACATTCCGCTTTTTATCCCTGAAGGGGCTGGCAGAGGTGCACATTATGCCACTATACAATGTAACACCCACTTTTCACTATTTACGTTATGAGTCACATGTAATAGGGGGTATTTCTTTTTTAAGGGGGGAAAATCATCGAATGACTGCTTCCGCCTGGGTGAGGCGGGAGGGAGTGTCAGACTGAACTAAAAACCACCCCATTCCTTCTCCTGCACATCGAGCCGGAGCCCCGGTAACCTGTTAGGTTCTCCGCGACATGTACATGGGGGTAGTAAATCTATTGCCGGGCACTATTCTCCGTGCCACTACTGAGAATTAAATAAAAAATCAAGTAATACTTTGCCTGTCCCGGAAATCGAACCCAAGAGCCCTTGCCCGGCAGTCGCACGTGCGAACACTCGGCCAACGAGGCAGTTTTTTCTTTATATCGGAATCATTTACTTTTATCCAAAACTAGTACTATGAATGTATAGTATGTCTTACATTAGGTTTATGAAAAAACAATTACTTACTACACTTCGTTTCCAAAATATTAACGACCCAGATTTATACCGGATTGTAAAAAAGGAAAGTTGTTCTCAAATTACATGACATATAGGTCAAACAATAAGTATGTAAAAATGTTACAGAAAAGTTTGACAGCAACAAAAGTTAACATAAAGTACAACGTAAGTATATCCTTTTCACATGGATATTTTCAATTCCCTAAAGACGAAGTTGTTTTGGACGCCATTTTTATTCCCATTTGTAATACTTACCAAAGGTTTTTCGCCCTCTGATGACATTATTTTGATACTATTTAAAATTCTCAGCAGAAAAAACAGATAACAAATTCTTAGAATTAAAATAATTAAAAATAAATAATTTACCTACCCAAGTTATAACAAAAACTCCATGATGATAATTATTATTATTATCTAGACTCGCAAAAAATTTTGAAATAACTGACTCAAAAAATATTTCGTTAACATTTTTGTGAATTTCAAAAGAAGACAATATTTAGGAAAATTTTCCTTTGGTATGTTCTTAATCCTTGTCTAAAAGGTATCCTAAGTATTTAATTAAGATCAAGACGGACCTTAACTTAATAAAATGTATAAAATTTATGGGAATGTATACCTATAAATATATACCAAAAGTGGAATCCTTCACCTAATGAAGTCGGTTAATAACAGGAGTTTTATGAAAGTCAATATTTTAGTTTATTATAGGACAGTATTAAACGAGCATATGTATATCTCCTACTGGTAAGAAACTAACGCATATTCATGGACTCCCGCAACACCAGAGAAGTTCTTTACCTTATTGGCGATATTTATTAGTTACATATTAGACTTTACAAGTCGAGTATTCCACAGACTTTTGTTAAAAGTCTAGTCTAGTTACATAATTTACATACACTCAATATTTGACTGAAAACCAAAGAGCGCAGCATATTGGATTACTAACTATCTATCGAATCGATTCACAAACACTGCGCTGCGCTTCAAAAATCAAATTACTGACGTAGTTCAACCACGGTCAGTTTGAACTGGACCAAATAAACTAAATACTGAATGTACATAGACTCAGTCACACCTAGCCACGTAATTTGACCTCTGTCAAAATGTTTCACGAATTAGAAACTTTGCTGTATTTTCCAAAAAAATACACTAGGAGACAAATGTACGACATACTGTATCGGCATCGGCGACATGCCAAACGATTTTTTTTAAAGGAGGTCAAATCATCGAATGACTGCTCCCGCCTGGGTGAGGCGGGAGAGAGTGTCAGACTCTTATTGACTAAAACCCACCCCGTTCCTTCTGCTGCACGTCGAGCCGGAGCCCCGGTAACCCGTTAAGTCTCCGCGATACATGCCAAACGATACCGGTTGAATTCACCTGACTAATATAGACAACGCGCGACTTATGTCCACTGCAACGTTGATGTTGCCAGACATGTCGACCAAAGTCAAGGCAATGTCGCTCTACTTCACCCAACGTCGCTGGCGACTCGTATCGCAAGACATTTGTCCTTTAGTGTATCCTTGGCTTTAGGTATACCACTCCTTCTCCTCCAGCTGGTTTCGTAAGAGCCAACTGAGTAAGGAATACTTACATACTTGAATAAACTTGGAATTTTAAGCCACAATCTTCAAAATCCTTGGCGAACGTAAAGATTATGAAAAACCTTGTTATGTTTTTTATGGGATAAGGCGGTAAACGAGCCGACGTATCACCTGATAGTAAGCTATCGGCGCCACCTATTAACTCCCGAAATACTAGAGGCGTTACAAGTGCGTTACTGGTCTTTGAGCCTCTATGATAGCCTCACTCACGCGACGAAACACAACGCAAGCGTTGTTTCACGTCGGTTTTCTGTGAGGCCGTTTCCGTGAGGTCGAGGGTGTATCACTCCGGTCGAGCCGGCCCATTCGTGCTGAAGCATGCCTCTCCTACAGTTGGGTAAATAAAGGTTAAATGTTCATAGTCCAACAGTACTTAAACTGTCAAACACCAAGCGGTCACCGGTGACCGCAACCTATTGTTCTATAATTGTGTCTATAATGACGGTACTCGACGAGTTAATTCACAAAACAAAAGAAAAGGCAATTAATAGATGTGCTGAATCTCCAAATCTTTTCCGATAATTCGTCAAAAAAGATATCTCGATAGGACGAGATCAGAATAAGAATGAAGACAATATTGTAAGGGACAGATTGTGGTTTATAAAACTGAAAATACTTGTTCAGAATAACAATAAGGTTTGTTGATAAAAATAAATGTAATTTTCCATTTTTATTAATAATATTCAATACCGAATTAGACCGGAGATTTAAAGACGAGCTTAAATTATAACGACTTTCAATGAAAATATTAACTCGTCGAGTACCGTCATTATAGACACAATTGGTTGTGTCTATAAGGGGGCACAACAATAGGTTGCGGTCACCGGTGACCGCAACCTATTGTTCTATAATTGTGTCTACAAAACCGGTACTCGACGAGTTAATTATGTTTAATGTCATGAATATTTTAATTGCACACAAATATGTTAATATGTCTATTCTTTCATTCTTGTTTTCTCGCGTTCTTCAACCTTGATTTGTCTATTCCTGCTGAATCATATCCAACCATTAATAGAGATAGAAGATCTACTAGATAAGTGATATATCTAACACAAAATATTAAAAAACACTACAGGTAAGTAAATAATACTCACGTCTAATGACATGAAAACAGAGTGACTCACACCATACGGAAAGTATTTTCCGATTACGTTATAACATCAGACAAAACACCTCTGTTTTATTTTAAATTGTTTATGAAATAAAAAAACAATGTTTATCATAGAGTATACGGTGAATCAGAAGCCATCGATCCATCATACGTTGACTGAAGCAATAAACAAACAGACCAACGTATAATGACTCTTGCGCTTTGAACGTATTTTTAGTCGAAATCGTTATGCACAACAGGCCATAACACTACAATACCGATAACTTCAATGTCCATTGCCTCATTTCCAAAACCGATGATGCATTTCACAGTGATGTAAAACGCAATGTATACTGTTGGACCAAAATGTCGGTCTTCACATAAGGCTATGCTTATTTGAACCTGTTTATAAAACTCACACTTGGCACTGAAACCAGCCAACAGCCAATAGTTATGATGCTATAACTCAAAGTTGTTTGAACCGAGTTCTAATATTCAATGGTTCCAATATCCTGTTTACTTGTCTGGTTGTGTTCCCATAAAATATGCAGATACTACTTTGTCAAAGTATAATTATGTGACGATTATAAAGCATGATAAATAAACAATTGAACGTTGCTTACGTAGAAGACAAAAATGTTTCAAAAATGTTTAGGGAAAATTGTATTTAAAATACTCAAGACATTAGAAGAACGTCGCTTGATCGTGTTTATTTCTCTACTAAAACCAATGAAACAGGAAAAATTCAATTACTCATTCGACTCACACGCTCTGACAGTAAGCTATGAACTTTTTTCATCCGACAAGATTAACCTACATTATCCAAACATAGTGATGAAAACAGACTAAATTACATAAAATATTATCTACTATTTTCGACAGTAATTAAATACATATGTGTATGTAGTGGTAACCTTCCCTATATAAGAAGAGGCTTTGCTCAGCAGTTAGCACTTATAGGCTGTTGATGATGTTGCCGTTATGATTTCATTACCTATTATAGTATAGATTACGTTTCTATTATTTAAAAATGTTGCTGGAGCAGTGCACTAGGAACTCCTCCTATGTAGTGAGTTAGTCCATTGCCTAATTACTGCCGAAAATGAATCGTCTTTAATTTGTTACGATGAGTAACACTATAAATCAACCTTTACATTCCAGGGATAATTGCTCCTTTATTCACAAATAGCTTTTGCCAGCTGTTTTGCCCGCGTTCCCGTAATAGTGACCTACATATTATTCCAGACTATAATCTAACCCTCTATCAAGTTTCATCTAAATCTCGTTAGCCGTTTACACGTGAAGGAGTACTAAACAAAAATACATATAAACTTTAGCATTTACAATATTAGTAGAAAGTAGAATTTAATATTTAATCTACATGCATCATGCGTCTTAAAGAAGTATTAAAGAAGCTCTCAAATAGATGGTCGTAACATTCGCTTGATTAAAACGCAGAATGGCCTCTTGGCATTTCACTCTCTTTTCACTCATTGAATGATAATTTGTAGGTATGTACCTCTTCCCAAGAATTTTCAATTACAGTTAAATTAATTTAAATTTGTTATTTATCTTTATTAAATTTTGAATTAGACCTAATTAAGTAATTCTGAAGTTTTGCTCTACAGCCATGTCTAAGTTCCATATTTGAAATAGAACTAGTATAGAATAGAACATATGAAATAGTTCCATATTTGCAAGAGCCTGCAAGCATCCTTGATAGAGACCCAAAACACCATGTTTGGATTATTA